TTGTATGCATATTATATGCTTAATCCCTGCAATTGTGTATTATATACGCATAATATTTGTACCCATTTTCCTGATGTGGCTGTTGAATGATTTGCTGAGGCGGTTGGAATACTGGCTGTTGAACGATTTGCTGAGGCAGTTGGAATACTGGCTGTTGAACAATTGCTGAGGTGGTTGGAATGCGGGTTGTTGCATGATTTTTTGGGGTACCTGAGACACCATCCCATTCATATTAGTCGCACTTCCGTAATTAAATGAAGAAGGCCTATGTTTGAGCCACAATTTCTTGAGATCAGTGAAAAATGCATTGATATTTGCGGGATTTGCACTTTCCATTCGATTGAAAAGGCCATCAGGTAAATGATTCATAAGGAATGACAAGGCATTAGCATCGTCATTAGCAATACCCAATAATAGGGGACATATTCTCATCTCATATGTTTCCGGTGTATCATTAGGTAAAAATTTTTCGTAAGCTAATCTCCAATCGTTTCTGTCTGATATTTATGACGCAACCATGCAATAAAGCAAGCTGGAGTATCAATATTATTTCCAGCATGTTGATTGGGTACATCTGCATATTTTGGGCCAAGTCTACCTTTTAAAATAGCTACTTTATTGGCATCATTGAGATTAGTTATCGCAGGAATAGCTAGTATTGCATGAATTTTATTATAACATTCATCAGGCTAAACCCTGTCCATCATAGAATTCAACATTTCTGAGTAAAGGTGTAATACCAGTTAAGTCACCTATAGCTGTCATATTTTGCAGGTTATTCTGAAGCATTAAAATTTGCTGATTTAAATTTAAAATTATTTGCCTTGAATCTTTTTCCTTATTTTCCCACTTTTTATGCTTTGCCTTTTGCTTGACATGCTTTCTACGCCAATCTTGTAAATCAGCTTGACATGTTTGCAATTGTCCCGTCTGGAAATTGTGTGCTTAGTTAAGAAGACCGAAATTATTATTCGCAGTAGTCAACTGACCATGTAATTGAGTTATCTGATTGGTTAAATTACCGATTTGTTGATAATGGACCTGTGATTGGATGTTTTCCCAGTCAGCAATGTCTTTTAGTCAAAGTGCAGAATCATTAACTATAATAATCTTGTTTAAAGACTAGTGCTGTAATCCAAAAAAGGAAAAAGTATGGTTGCAAAAGTGGTCCCAAAGGTAATTGTGACCACTTTTTATATGCCGTAAATACAATTACTACCATCACCATAATTTACGGCACTAGTCTTTAATCTTGTTTAGAATATCCCTCTGATTCCAAGCCGAAGTGTGGGAATTTTGAATATAATCATCAATATGTCCATTTTCATCCAGAAGTGTATCGAAAAGGTTGTCAAGTTCATTGAGCCTAGGTGGTTGAATCTGATTTGATTGAATTGGCTGAGACATCTTAACAATGTTAAATTAATCTTTGATTTCTGCAGATTTATTATACTTCTGAGAGGTAATTTTTCGAATTCTATTTTTTAATATGACCACTTCCTCTTTGAGTGTAGACAACCATTGCTCTAGATCAAGAACATAACTCTCTTTTTTATCCACATCCTTTAGAGCAGACCGAAGACGTTTTTGCAAATTGGATACTTGGGATTTGAGTTCCTGGATCTCCTTTTCGTGGGCTATGATTGTAGTATCCTGAAGCAAAATGGACCTATTACATTGTTCTAGTTCTTTTATGAGAATGCAGATTTTTTTCTCATTCGATTGGTTTAAACTT